AATTTCTTGATAGTATATTCTGAACATGTGCTGAAATCAAAATTTCAGGCAAATCCACATTTTAATGGCTTAATTGTCATGTGGTCGGGTGTCACTTATTTCAGAATGTCTACTGATATGAAATCTCATTACTGCAGCATTTAAAATTGCCAAAGAAACGTGGTCCTATGCATGCAAATTGCATGGTATTAAGGATTCCCAAATCAAGGTTTTAATACTGACAAGAGGGAAGTTCAAAAGTAATATTAGAATGTATACTCTTTCATAGAAAGAATAGTGGAAGCTTGAAACCAATTTCCAGCTGAGATAGAGGGTTAATCATCAGTCATTGAGTCATGCTTGGGACAAATACCTGTTGATTATCTGACAAAAAAATTAAAAAAATAATATATAGAAATAATAATTAAAATTAATTAATTAAAAAGAAAACCACCCCTCCCCCCAAACTTAAAGGGCAGACTCAATGGGTCATTAAGTCATTTTCTGCCATCAGTTTTCTATGTTTCTAATTCTAATATAGTTTACTTAGGCTGACTGTATTGACTTGATTCAATTCCATGTGTGTGTTTGCAGCCTTTCCTACTTCTTTTCTATATTACCTTCTTCAAATAAATTCTTTTTTAAAAATATATTTAGAGTTTTGGCTTCATTGGTCTAATAAGAGATAATCTTACCCACATGCAAAGTTGCACAGCTATCAGTTGCATTTCAGAATGGACACAACGGTGTGCCAAGTATTGTAATTCTAGGTTTGGGGTAAGAAAAATTCAAAGGTATTCTGTCTCCGCCCCCACAGTTTCTCTGTAGGTGGGCTGAAGGGAGACATCTGATTTAAAAAAGCTAAGAACTCCCCAGCTGAACACAGTCAAGGAGAATCAGGACGTTCACCCTGACTGCCGTCATCTTGTCAGAAGTATTTTTCACTGGAGAATCCTTGTGACAAAAAGAAAATGTATGTGTGTGTGTGTGAGAACTGCTGGAGGAAGGTTTGCATTATTTTCCATCCTAATCCGTGAGAGCTCCCATCTGAATTCTGAGTCAGGTTTTTTTTTTTTTTTGCTCATGCTCTGTTCCTGAACATAATCCTCAGCTTCTTCTGATATTTTAAAGCATACGGCCATTCAATTTCCATGCCTTTCTTCACGATCAGTCATTTTAATTTAAAAATAAACAGAGAAATGTAATTTTTTTTTAATTGGTCTGATGGCACACACAAATACATTGAAGGCAACCTTCTGTCTCTTCTTGCTTGAACTGGGAGAGGCGAAATATAAATTGAAAAACAGTCTTGATAATTACTGTTTGAAATCAGTGTGTGTGTGAGTGTCTGTGTGTGTGTATGTGTGTGTGTGTGTAAATGTATGTTCAGTGGTGTTAGGAATTTCTGACTGTCTGATTCAAAGGGTAGTATGTAGTTCCATTTATTTTAGACATACATTTCATTCTACCCTGAAGTAAACACCCAATTTTAATTGAAAATTCTTCAGCTGGCTAAAATATTTTATGAACTTAGCCTGGACTTTTAATGTGTTTATCATACTAAGAATACAAAGTTCTTCCCCCTGCCAACCTTTATCTCTCAAACTGAGGAATGTTGTATTAACCCACCCTATGTTATATAAATTGCTTCTTTCATTTTCTCATAGCAAAAGCTGCAGCTTGTCCCAACCATCCTAATGTTACCTGGAATATTAGATTTCATTATTAGCATTTTAAGAGTCTAGGCATCTTTTTTAACTTCAAGAAAACATTTTTTTTTTCTCCTTAGCTAAGGCCATTTCTTTTGGTATGGGAGAACTTCTCTTTTCAGCACTAACGAATAGGGAGCATATTCTGAAAATCCCTGAATACACTTGCAAGTCTTAAGAAAGATGCAAACCCAGTTGGGAAAGAGTAAAACAATTATAGTATACATTTGCCAGGTGTAGAATGTTATCTAGAATTGATGTTTTCTATTGTTCAACTCTCACATGTCTTTATTGCTTGATTACTTACTTTCTGATGTATCACATATACCAAATATATGTATCATTTGTTTCTGTACCTTATAAAAAGAATGCCTTTTGCTTTGAATTATTAGGTAATTTATATTTTTGGGTAGACAGAGAAGCCCCTTTGCAAGGGTAAAAAGTGTATTTCTCCAATTCCACATCTGTTAAGTATTAAGCCCCATTTTATGACCTTTCTTACCACAGTTGCTAAGTGAGTCACTGCAGTTGTTAAATTACCATATTTTTCAGAGTATAAGATGCACCGGAGTATAAGATGCACCGGAGTATAAGATGCACCAAGGTTTTGAAGAAGAGGCAAATTTTTAAAAAAGAGGTTTTGCATTCTGCAAATCTCCCCCAAATGGCCCATTTTTCAGAAAAATGTGCCCCTTTTTTTCAAATATAAAGGGCATGAATAGCCGTTAGGAGGCTTGTAGAGTGCTTCGGGGGGGGGGGGGCAAAAATAAGCAAAATAATGGCCATTTTTCATGAAAATGGGCCCATTTTGTGCCAAAAAAGGGACATGGATAGCCTTTAGGAGGCTTATAGAGTGCTCCTGGGGGCTGGGGGGGGGGCAAAATTGAGCAAAAAACTGGGCCTTTTCTTGCTCATTTCTGCCCTCCCCAGCCCCCAGGAGCTCTCTGAAAGCCTCCTACAAGCTATGCACAGCCATTTTTGTGAAGGGGGTGGGGTTTCGGGAGGCCCAAAATGCTGTATTCAATGTATAAGACACACCCAGATTTTCAGTCACTTTTTTGAGGGGAAAAGGTGTGCCTTATACTCCAAAAAACAGTACTAACACAGTTGTTAAGTGAATCCAGTTTTCCCATGACTTTGCCTGTCAGAAAGTTATAAAAGATGATCGCATAACCCCTGGACACTGCAACAGTGATAAATATGAGTCATTTCCCAGGGGTATGAATTTTGATCATGTGACCATGAGGATGATGGTCATCAGTGTGAAAAACGGGCATAGGTCATTTTTTCAGTGCTGTTGTAACTTTGAACGGTCACTAAATGAACTGTTGTAAGTCGAAGGCTACCTATATCATTCTCAATAGCGTAAAACTATTACATCTCTTCATTTTTATGTCAGGCTGGAGATGAGTAAAACAGAATCCAAATGGACAAACTATCAATAGTATTGAGTGAAAGAGTCCTTCCTTCCAATTCTTAGTACCCGTGTTTCCCCGAAAATAAGACCAGGTCTTATATTAATTGTTGTTCCTAAAGACACATTTTCCAGTTAGATCTTATACTAAATGCATCTGTCTGGCTGACAATCTTAACTGGGTTATTTTTGGGGGAGGGGGGTTAGGGCTTATATTATGAGCAGCTTGAAAAATCATACTGGGGCCAGTTGGGTCTTATTTTTGGAGAAACACGGTAGAATGGAAAAGATGCAGCTGAGCTGAAATCTTGCAGCCAAGTACCCCCATATGTGCTACCTTTTGAAATCCAATCTGAAGCACTAGCCACCTTAGTTAGCAGTGATCCTTCCAAGCAGGGGACAGTCTACCTGTACATATAGATAGCAAATTATATCCAGTTAAACCAGATTTTTCAGGAAGAGTCAAACATCACACCATCATTATATCTTCCTTGTTTCCCTTCCAGTTACTGCTTTCCGTATGTGCCACTTTAAAGACTGAAGTGCCTACCATGTGCTGATTCATTGTGGAGGCAGCACTGCCTTTGGGAGGCCATCCAAAACCTTGGCAGATTCCTTTCTACAGCAGCCTAGCTGACTAATTCTTTGTTCTGTCTAACCCAGTATGAATCAATACTGGAAGGGGAATCCCAGTGCACTCATCTAATATCTCTGAAAATAGGCCAAAACTGACATGCTTTGCCACCTAAGTAGATCACTGAGGTGAATCACAGCTTTCAAAAACTGTAAACGAATCAGCATCCGTGAAGGAATAAAAATATAACTGAGTTTGGAGAGAGATGAAGTGGGATGATTCAGTGGGCAGAAATCACCTGATTTCTTATTATTTATAATCTGGGGGGATTTAATTTTGAGCTAGGGATTGCTCTAAGAAAGATATTCTTAGATATTGCTCTAAACTATTTTATAATTCCACTAAGTATGAATTGAATTTACTGGGCTGTAGAAATACTGCAGACGAGTCGTGTGCATGGTAGTGAAAATTGCCAGCCTGATAAGACATCATGCCCATCCATCAGTGGAAGATTTGTAGAATTACACTTTTTTCTTGATGGGTTGAGAATTAAATACCTCTATTAACATCAAGCTGAAATAACTATATCTGAAATAAATTCATTCTGAAAGCTATTACCATAAACTAATAGCTTTTAGAATGGTAACTGGCTTCTGCTGAAGCAAATAAAGACTCTTGCAATACTTTAAAAGAAAATATTTATTGCATCATTTGTGGATCATTGTCCACTCTACCTGATGAAAAGGACTCAGATCCACAAAGGCTTATACAATTACCAATTACTGTTAAAGATGCTACAAGATTCTTAACAAGACCCATATAGCATGTCTTCACACATCCTAGCACCACATTATTAGCAAACCTGGTAATTCTAAAAGTCACCACTGAATGCATTTCATCTTCTTTATGCTGGCTTTCCATTCCAACATGATTACTAATGCTAATACAGTACAGCAGGGGGTCCCCAATGCCCAGGCCATGCTCACAGCGGGCCATGGAAGCAGTGTGCGTGCGAGTGCATGAAGCCCCATTTGTGTGAGCGGCAGGTGCACATTCCTGCTGCTGACACAAATGGAGCTGCATGTGTTCACCCACCACTCATATGGAGCCATCCCCTCCTCCCCCTGCCCGTCCGCAAAGCCAAAAAGATTGGGGATTGCTGCAGTACAGACAATTGCCTATCGCTCTAAAAGGCCAAGCACTGGACTTCTTCTTAAATACCTACAGAGCTATGTCTATGAGCCTATTGCAAGTAGAGTGAAGGGGTGACGGGTCATGAGAATCAGGGTGAAATTGTGCAGGAATCCCAAGCCTGCCCTGCCACATTACACTCCCATTATTGAGTTTGGAAAGTGCATCCAGCCCACCTCCTTGTATGCAGCCGTCACATGAGTGTAGATGAGGCTCCTCATCTTGGCCCAGGCTCTCTGAACCTCTGGAACACTGAACTCATTGGTGTATTGCTCTGTAAGCACTTCCAGCAGGACGCCAGTCAGAATCTGGGAGAAGAACGAAGATGAAAAGTTAGGAGAACAGAATTTCTCAGTCTCCTCCGTAGTTTCAAAACAAGGCATGACCATTAGCACCCCCTTTTAAAACTGCTATCACTTCGGCTGTTTGCTGTCATAATGGGACTTTATTCGTAGTTGCTGTACAATACCCAGTAGATGAAGGTGATTAATAATGACATAAAAGCAGCCTTCCTTAATATTGGGCTTCCCTGGGATTATAGACTATAGCTCTTTCATTCCTTGGCAGGATGTTTTGGTCTAAAGGGAGTACCTAAATAATTTTAGGCTTTGGATATAAGGGTCTTAATTTCCTGATCTTTCCTAATCATCTTAGATGACTAGGTTATTTCAATTCAGGGGCATGAAACTAGACGTTCTCCTTTACTTCATAGCCATTTTATGTTTCACAATTGCTTGTCCTTGATGCTCTGAGCATGTGTAGTAAGACTATGCACCCTTTGAAAATGACACTTCAGACATTCAAGCTTGAGCACAGCACATTTCTGCTATTCAATAAGGCAGACTGATTAAAACACACACACACACACACACACACAGATAAATATGATAAAAAAGTTGCAACTCTTTTATGAGTTACTCATTTTAATTATTCCATGCTTATAATGTGAAAAAATAATCATTTAGGCATATTAAAGTTGGGCTTGTTTATTATTTTCCTCATCATCTGACTGGTCCTTTGTGGCCATTTCAGCAGCCTGTGGGACTCTGAATTTCATCCCCAAGGCTGCACCACAGCTAGCATTGAGGGAACTGTAAAGCAGACTATTTGAATGGTAACATAATTCCAAAATCAAATCAACAGAACAAAATCTGGGATAAAATTAGATGATCAAATACTTAATAAAAGCAAGGGAATTAGAAAAGTGTTTACTTGATATTAGAAAAACATCACTCTATGTGCTAAGAGAATTCCGCAAGTAGGAGCCCCAAAAGCTATCCTCAACACATAATGTTATTAAGAAAACAACCCCTTTAGTCATAAAGAGTCATGGGACAACTCATCTAGAAGCAGATTCCCCCCACCACCACCAGTAGCTACCTGAAGATTAAGTATTTGCATTCAAACTGGACGGAGACTGCAAACTGCACAAGTGATGGGTGTTCCAATTACTAGTTCTAATTAGTACTTTAGCAGCTGCATTTTGTGCTAACCCCTTGAACTGAAAAATGATTTGGCAAGTGCTTCAGACTTCATGTGAGTGCAGTATTTCATCTTACTTTGCTATCTAGGAAAACAGCTTTTCTCAGGCTTCTTCACAAGCTTAAGAAAATACGTCTTTCTTTAACGAATCAAAAGGAATCTGACTCCTAAGCAATGGGCTCGTAAAGAAGCCTGAAAAAAACAACGGGTGTGTTTAAATAAATGGCAGAGAAGTGTTGCATACACACTGTGTCTAAAGCAATTCTGAATTGCTGTCAAAATATGCACAACCTGCNGCAAGTTCCTCCAAACCAGATTGAATGCCAGGCAAAAATGGATTAAAACAGCCACCTTCAAGGCTCTGCATTGTTCTAAATTTTTAAAGGCTAACACAACAAATGTGAAACTGGCAGAATACAACTGGAATCTAAGATTATTGTTTTGTTCTGTACTGTTTTATTTTATTGAGGAAATTTATATGCTGCTCACATCCTTTACACTTTTTAATATGCACTGGAGCATGTGATGGGAATTTCGCCTACCTGTGCAAGAATGATTTATTTAAGTGATATTCAGGCCTCATGAAAGTATCTTTGGGGACTGGGTCTGCAAATATCCAGAGTAGCTCTATCAGATAATCATATCTATAAACTGACGGGATGAAGGGTGAAGGGATAAATTAAAGCAAAGGTGGTATTCAGCAGGTTCTGACCAGTTCCGAAGAACTGGTAGCGGAAATTTTGAGTAGTTCAGAGAATCAGCAAATACCACCTCTGACTGGCCCCCCCCCATCTATTCTCTGCCTCCCGAGTCCCAGCTGATTGGGAGCAAATGTGGATATTGCACTAACCTTCCCTTAGAGTGGGGAGGGAATGGAGATTATACAGTATCTTTCACATGCCATGCTCACCAAGCCATGCCATACCCACCAAGCCACGCCCACAGAACTGGTAGTAAAAAAATTGAATCCCACCACTGAGTTAAAGGCAACCCTCTGCTTCCCCTTCTGATGGACAGCTTTCCTTAATGAACTTCACTGAAATTGGTGTCTTGTAAGACCTTCAGTCATTTCAAGTTGTTGTTTCTAATGCATATCCTAGATATCTCTACATGGAAGCTTGCCCTTTACTTGATAATCACTGGATGAGTTGAACGCCAGTTCTCTGTCCCACCACAAACAAGGGTGTTCCCTGACCTCTAGAGTGCTATAATTTTCTTGAGGAACATCAGCCGATGGGTTCTCAAACAATCCAACTCAGCAGAGTAAACATGGTATGATGCAATCTATGACATATCTACTGGGCACAGAGAAAACAGAATAGATAAATGAACTCTGGTTTCCAAGAATTTTCATTTTGAAATATTTGTTGCTTCTGAGGTCAAGAGAGAGGGAGGAAAGACTTGGAATGTAGATAGGAGATCTGGTGAAACATGGTGCAGCTGACTCAAAATATATTTACAGAATCACCAACCAAAGTTACATTTCAGTCTTACTTCCTTTTTCTCTTCCTTTTTAATTTCCTATTCGGCAGATTTAAATTTGAGTTATATATCTTCTCTATATTAAAAGAAAGACAGATTTTTTTAAAAAATATAATGAACTATAAACATATTTCTGAACATGCATATCATCTTTCTGGGTGGTAATTTTTCAGGTTGATGATACCAATTGCTGCACGCAACTGAATAATGTTTAGTAAACATTATTTCTGCAAAATAGCAGTAGCAATAAACAAGTATACCAAATATTTTAATAATATGCTTTTTGAAGATATGGATTTATTACCGTGTTTCCCCCAAAATAAGACAGGATCTTATTTTCTTTTAACCCCCGAAATATGTACTTGGCTTTATTTTCAGAGAGGTCTTATTATTTTTGAGGAGCAGAGGAAGCAGTGAGCGTGGTCACCTCATGGCTGCAGCTGTCTTGCAATATTTTTGGGGAGGGCTTATTTTAGCACATGCGCTGAAAAGCCCGATTGGGCTTATTATCCAGGGAGGTCTTATTTTGGGGAAAACAGGGTATATCTCCCAGCCAGAAACAAAATAGTCCAAAATGTTGATTGTATATTAATTTGATAAGTGTTTTCCTAATGATTTCTTTTAGTTTTGTTGCTAAGGTATCTAAGGCTGATGTCAATCTTGCTAATCTGAAAAGATATTTCTTCCCTGTCACCTTTATAGCCCAAGAAACTAGAGAACAGCCCTTCTTTGCCATACCTAAATTTCTTTTATGAGCTAAGCTGCTTCTTGTCTGACTAGTCCCTTGGTTGTGACTCTTCCTCCTGCCTCCCAAGGTCATTCCCACATATCATTTCACCTTGTCATCTCTGGCTTTGTGAGCATCACACAACATGGGCCAGAAAGCTAGTGATAAAAGCTGTTTTGGTATGGTGGGAGAGTCAAGCCACTTCCCGATGTCAATTCAGTTATTTGAGAACTACTTAAACATGATTATCTTTTGTGTGGCTGAGAGCATGTCTGAATGATCCAATTATATGGTCCTACATAAGTGGCATTCTCTTTCTGTGGAAATGCTAATTTCATGGGGAAAACATGAAGAATCAGTTCCCTAGTACATAGCTGGAGAATTTAAATACAATTCCTTCCATGGAATAACTACCTGGGGACAGATGGCTGAGACAACATCAAAAAGTTGCCTGAATGAAATATTCTTGAATTTTGGAACCCTACTGAAATTCCCCAGAGCTCTTTTGAAAACAAATATGAGTCAGTTGCCAAACATCTGAATTTTGATTACATGACTAGGGGGATGCTACAACAATCATAAGTTTGAAAAACGGTCATGTCACTTTCAGTGCAATTGTCACTTCAAACGTTCACTAAATGAAATGTTGGAAGCCAAGGACTACCTGTCTTTAACATCTTGAGACTGTAGAAGTGACAACACTAATGTTTGAATAACTCAGCTAAATGACCCCTAAACTGTATAATAAATTGATCTAATACTCTCAGTCTTGAATACATCAATTTCAGTTTTTGCTCCCCTACAAAGATTCTCCCCTATTATCTCATTTATACAACAAACAAGAGGTGAAAATATTTTGTACTTTCTTACTGATCAGCTGGATGATGAGCAATGACAGACCTGTGGGATTCTTTCTGTGCTTATTATTTCACCAAGGTTGTGTTAGGAAAGTGGGTTTTGCTACTAGATCAGGGTTGTCAAACTCCTGGCCGCTAGACTGGATGCGTCACATGCTGGCCACACCCATGCCAGGTTTAGTGAAGGTGGGGGAAGTCCTGATATGTCACGTGACATTGCTGTGACATGTGAGTTTGACACTTCTGCACTAGGTAATTTATGATATCCTGTCTAGACCCAGAGATGGAGGTTTTCTTTAACTTGGGAAAACAAGAGTCTCCTTAAAGAGGGTGGTTTTCAGTTATTCTGCATGTTGTATAAAACTGAGATTAGGTAAAAGGTAAAGGTTCCCCTGCACTGGCTCTAGGGCGATGCTCATCTCCATTTCAAAGCTGAAGAGCCAGCACTCTCCGAAGATGTCTCCATGGTCATGTGGTCAGCATGACTAAATACCGAAAGTGCACGGAGCACTGTTACCTTCCCATCAAAGATGGTCCCTATTTTTCTACTTGCATTTTTTACATGCTTTTGAACTGTTAGGTTGGCAGAAGCTGGGACAAGTAATGGGAGCTCACTTCGNATATGCACAACCTGCCACCTGCTACTTCTGGTTTGTCTTCAGAGATAGTTCACTTGTGGTTCACTACAGCAATCCTGGTTGAAGATTCCTATTGCATGAATAACTCTAACTAAAGTATTTCTATCCAGGAGAGGCTGCAAGTCATTCCCCAGTTTGCTATAGATTACATGTAATAGAACCTCAGCATAAAAGAGATGAAAAAAAATATTTGAGAACATTCATAACATAGCTTACAGCTGATGCCGCCAGCTTCATGTTTGTGTCTGAAAGTCTAATTAGGAATTTCAAACATAAAAAGGCATCAATCTTGTCAGAATAGTGGGCAGATCTGATATTTTAAAACTATATTCTTTATTCATTGCAAAAGGTCGAGAACTGTTTCATCTTTTTTCAGTTTACCTTTTAACTTTTTTCTGGATAGGGACACACTTTAGAAAAACAAACAAACCAAAATCTGGACTTTAGCCACCACCTCAGTGCTAAAAAAGTAACCAGTAACAGTTTTAAAATGAAAAGAAAATGCTTTGTGCCATGCCAGCTAAGCTTATTGGTTTGGTTTGGTTTTTTAAAAAAAATCACCACAGGTAATTCCCAGGTTAAGGGAATCGATCAACTATTGTTTCCAAACGAGGCCCAAAACTACAAATCTTGCAGCACCACGGCAGTTCTTTGCTCTTGCCGACCAAAATGGACCCGGGGGCTGGATTCGGAGGCTCCATTTTGGTGTGCAATGGGCTGGGGGATGCCTGCAGAGGGCCAAATGGAGGCTCTGAAAGCTGGATCTGGCCCCTGGAGGCTCCATTTTGGCCTGCAACCAGGCCGAGGGAGGCTCACGGAGGGGCAAACAGAACTGCAGAGGGGCGCATGAGGCTGGAGAGAAGACTGCTTGCTAGATCTTCACAAGGTAATTGACTCAGTGCAGCAGGTTGGGGGAGAAGCTATTTGGGGAGCATGAGGTATTTCAGTGGGTCAGGGAGGCATTGGATGGTCTTAGGCAGGTGACTTGTTCCATCAGTAGGCCCCTCATGGCCTTCCCCACCCTGAAATACCTCATCTGTACTTAACGAGTCTTGCATTTGATTAGCAAATGCATGGTTGCAAGGAGGGAGTGATCGGATTCAAGGTACGAGATTCACTCCCATGAATCCTTGGGCTATGAATGGAATGGGCAGGCTGCATTACACTTGTAACTCAAGGACTACCTGTATAACAGTTTATATACTTTAAATCAACAGGGCAGATCAGAACAGGCTACTTTATATTTGATTGTCATCTGATATTCTGGAATGTGTTCTGCCAATCTTCTTTCTGTCTGTTCTACACTGTGACTGCTGTAATCTTTAGTGTCTAAACTGGGAAACTGTAGATATTTTAGATCAAGCCAAATCCAAAAAATGCTAGGGAATTCCTGCAAAGTTGGCATTCTGACAAATCAGCCATCAGCAGACACATAGAGATAAGACCTGTTTATACACCGCTTTTAAAAAGATACAACCAAAAGTCAAGGAAAGGAAGAAACAGCCTCAGAGCACCCAATATCTAGGATTAGTAGGAAGCAGCACCAGATGAACATGAATGAAACAATACCAAAATCAAGGCACCATTAAAGAAGAAACCATACCACAACCAAGCTGCTAAACATATATAAAAAACCAACAACATTGCACTAATGATGTTAGCGAAATAATAGAATGTCTGAAGAAAAACAACCAAGCTCGGTGTATGCATGTATTCTTTTGGGGCCAAATTACCATTAGGACAATGCATTTACAAGGGTTTGTGCCCAACATTTAATGTTTTTGGTCATTAGGTACATATCATGCATTTCTCTATGATAAATCAATATCAAACCTTTTCAATACTGAACTTTCTAAAAAAAAGTATGGTATGTGAATCATAATGATTAACAAAATATTACCTGTCCTGCAATATAGTTACAATTTTTAGAATTCTTAGTGGAACTGGAGAACCATTTCAGTCAAGTCAGGTTCTTGGTATGGTTACGTCTGATTCAAGGGGAAATGTTATGTGCAGCGGCTTTTAATGTGTCTTGACAGATTGTAGGACAACATTTTTATTTGAATTACCTCTCTTATCACCAGATCCTACTGCAGTGTAACTTATTACCCATTGTGATTCTCCATCAAGTGTACAGGCAAATTCAAAACACTGAAATAAGTTTTGCAATACTAATTAGCCTATTTCAGTTCTTCATAATTGTTGAAGGGCATGGGGTTTAAGTAGGAAGCTGTATAAACTATCAACTATCAAAATTATGATGTATCCAAATTTGTGGGTAATTCATTTGGTACTCTTTGCTCTGTAGTGCACCTTCTCTCTGTTTTGGGCACACTTTGAACTACATTCATTTTTATTTATGAGAACTAGTGAGTGACATAAATTTTTTGTCTATACTGAAGGACAATCATGGTATCATCCATCGGTCATCAACTAGAATCAGTCATCAACTAGAACTAATGAGAGATCTAGAGTTCAAAATCAATAGAAACAGAACTGCAGTAAGGTGAAGTTACTCCAAGTGCTCTATTTACAACGAAGTCAATAGCTTAGATCATGGATATCAAACTTGCTGTGTCACATTGCAGTCATGTGACGTTTCACAATGTTTTTCCCATTCGTGGAGCTGGGGTAGGTGTAGCCTGTGCATGCATCTCGCCAGTTTGACACCCCTGTCTTAGATCAAAGAGCACGAACAAATAAGGGCTCATTGGCTTGAGATTCTTTAGCAGAAAGAATATAGTTCCCTAGAACTGACAGAGGAAATCAATCCTGGAAAAAGACACAAAATAATAATCTCTAGAGAGCGGCATATATAACTGCAGTATTTTCCATTAAAGTAAAAGTCCTCTGAAGGATGGAAAGACACTCTAGTCTTCTCAATCTAAAAATGACAATCTGAGTAACCTTTCAAATAGCCCTTAACCCACTATTTCTTTAAAAAAAATGTTTTGGGAAAACAGCAATTAATTCAAGTCTGAAGAATGAATAAAGGAAAAAATGTATATGTATTTGTTGGTCTTTGCCCTTTCCTTATAAGTACTCTTAAGTTATTGCAAACAAACTCAACTCAATCCTCATGCTAAAATAAATAGGAATGATTGTAATCAGAAGATTTTAATATACACATTTAATTGTTCATTGGGTCTTACAAGTAAACAGAATACTGATGATCACACAACAAAATGATGTGTAAATTCTGTTATAAGAATTAGATCAGGAGTGTCAAACTGGTGGCCCACGGGCTGGATGCGTCGTGCACAGGCCACGCCCACCCCAGCTCCGTGAATGGGAAAAACACCACGTAATGGCAAAGTGGTGCCTCAAGTTTGACACCCATGAGTTAGATGGAGATTCTACATCACTTTAATATTTTGAGATAAAATTTATCTCAATAAATTGGGAATTGCAAGGACCTACTAGCCAGTCAATATTACTGTTTTATGTCAACTTTGTTTGGTTTGGGATTTTCTTATCAATGTTCAAGGACATGATTTTGCCCTTACCTTAAAGTAGACAGGGTCAACTTTGTGCTTGACAGCATGTGCCTTGCCCACCAGAGCTAGCACAGAGGAGACCTTTTCCGAATCGTATATGTTCTCCACCACACTATTAATAGCCCCCATGACCCTCCTGGCATGTTTACGCAGCTGCAGGCTCCTTTCCATCTCTAATGGATCTTCCATGTGCTTGAATTGGCTGAAGTACTGCTTGGCAGATGGGAAGTTGACAAAAAATCTGTACAATACCAAAAAGAGAAGAGTGCCGAATTAGTTTGGAAAACAATATGTCACAATGTGTTTTGGGGTGGGTGGGGAGGAGAGAGTAGTGGACATGAAATCTTTGAAATAAGGATTTCAAGAGGGAGACCCGGACACCGTTTTTCATGACATCATTAGGGCAGCTTCTACCACAATGTTAGTTTTCAGATGAATTGTAATCATGCCAGCAGAAAAGTCCATTGTTTTAAAAGAATTTTGGGGAAGCTGTTTAGCTTCATTGAGCTATTTAGCTATTTAGCCCTGGTTCGAATCTCAGAATGGTATGGCTAGCTAATGAGAGCTAAATCACTTGAAATAGATCTATATTAGTCTCTATATTATTTCATTGTTGGTAAAACATAAACTTAACACAAATATTGGGGGTTTATGTACTAATTGCATTCATATTCTGCTTCCCCCACCCAAGAAACTCAAACTGTTGGGTGGGTGACATTTTTATCCTTCCCAACAATTCTGGAGAGAGAGGATAATGACTACAGTTACCTAGAGTACTTCCTTGCTGAAATTTTGGGAAAAGATTAGCATGATGTGAATGAATCAGAATTTCAGTCAAGCTCTCCCCTCTTACTCGCAAATGCATCTTGTCCTCAGAAAGGTTCAAAAGCCTTGAACTATGTGGCATAGAATGGCAGCCTGAGGTACATTTGCCATGGCTTTGAGAGTTGCTTCCTGATGCTTGCACAGTTTGCTCTTCAAGCAAATTCCTAGTTGGCCAATTTCACTCCAGAGACAGGTGGGGGGAAACAAAATGACCTGGCTGTTTTTGATCCTGACTGTTTCCTCCACCCACACACCATCACAGTGCAGTCGACTCTTTTGGTTCCACTTGATTAGGTTGTTCCCACTTGGCCGGTCTCACACAAGAGGTTGTCAGGGAAGCCGTGTGAAGAAGCAAAAGGAATAACCGTATCTCTTGCTGCCTTCCCTTAGACATCTGGGATTCATCAGCCTGCCTAAAATAAGTTCTGAAGTGTGAAGAGTGCGTGGAAAGCAACAGGATGGGAAAGATGAGAGACAGGGGGCAGGGAAGGGGAGGATTAAGTGCTTTATTTTGCCTTTTAAATATTCTTCCATTTTCTTTCTGATCCAGTCCAAATGCCTGTCTCTCCAGTTGATTTTGATAGAAGGAAGGTTGCTTCCCTCAAGGAGAAGCAACTTGGAATTAAGGAGAAACTTCCTGACAGTGAGGTCACTTAACCAGTGGAACAGTTTGCCTTCAGAAGTTGTGGGTGCTTCATTACTAGAGGCTTTCAAGAGACTGGACAGTCACTCGTCTGAAATGGTATAGACCTACAGGGTGTCCTGCTTGAGTAGAGAGTTGGACTAGAAGACCTCCAAGGTCACTTCCAGCTCTATTCTGATTGAAATGTATGCCAAGGCTGCTTGGCACACTAAGACTCACTTAGTTTCTCTGCAAAAGTCTCAGGTACAGGCCTGTCCAATGCTTATTTCTGCCAGCAACAATAGATTCTGCCTAATTTTTTTTCCCAGGGTCAAAAAGCAGCTATCTGATAGATGGTCCCAAAGTAGCCTGCCCATTTCTGGAAAAAGAGGTAGCCAAGCAAGTGAGACAAAGTGGATGCCAGATTGATATCTTAGTAGAATAACTGCTGTGTTACAAAAGAGGAAAGAAGGCAGATCAGGAGTCAAAGCCAAAGGATTGTTGCTAATATCTTAATTAGGATGAGCCAAAAATGGCAGAAAAAAATATGAAATCTTTGGAAAAGCTTTACAAGCAAGATGTTGTAAAAAGCAAGCTGCTTAGATTAATTTGAGTCAAAAATGAGGAAAAAACAGCCCATTTTTCGCTCTTTTTGCCCTCTCCAGCTCCCAGGAGCACTGAAGGCTACGCTCATCCATTTTTGTGAAGGGGTCATGGTTTTGGGAGGCTAAAAATGCTGTATTCAGTGTATAAGATGCACCCAGATTTTCACTCTCTTTTAGGGGGGAAAAGGTGCATCTTATATGCCACAAAATATGGTAATATAAAACTAAATAAGTTATGTGGAGCTATTGCTATCTGCTTTTTAAATCAGAAAGAAAGGAGCTCAGCACAAATTGATTGTGAGGAATGCATACAGATACATAAAAGTGCATAAACTTGGGAGTTGCAACAACATTTTGCAGTTCTGTATTGAACAATTTAGATTCTAATGCTCCATTACGTTTTTCCTAGACCCTCAGTGGAGAGGACCCATGGAGCTCATTACCTGGGGACGAGGTTACGCCGCCGTTCAGCTCCCGGATAAGGTTTTGTGGGTCCCTGGCAGATGCATACGACCGTTTCATGAAAAGCCGATAGAAACGGATAATACCAAGAATCCAGAAGCAAGTCTGTCATTTTTGTTCCAAGCTACAGACTAATAATATGCTATTGTGGCCAATGTGTTGGTTCTGCCCTTGTCCCTGTGAAGCCTGTTGCTGCTCCCACTGTCTCTTCACTGTCCCACCTCCAGCCCATTTCTTCAGTGGCCTTGCCTCCTATCCTGTCCACTAGGGCTACTTTTCACTTTCCATCCTCCTTAAAATATTTTTGAGGTTTTCACTTTTAAGAGGCCTTTCTTCTAATGCATTTATATTTCTGCAAAGAAAGAGGTATGCTTTCTGACATTCCCTCCTAAGTATGAAGTGTGGTATTTTGACTATACAAGCAAGTGCACTCAAAGCCTGGCTGTCTGAATTAAGGTCTGACAAAGCCCCTTCAAAATACATTCTGCAGGTGTGATTTATTAATCTGCTCCATGTTTTGCTTCCCATGGATTTCAGCTATGTTTGCTACAAACCTCCAAGAATCATTACAAATGAGTGGTAACGGAATACATGCAATTGATTAATTAACCCTCAGCCTTTGAATAATAGCTGGGAGTGAGGATCAAACTGTAACTATCTTTCAGCTTGGCTTACACATGGATTTCCCCATGGGGGAAAAAATGATTACATCAAGATGGGAAAAAAACAATTGTGTGAATTCAAAGCTTGGCAACAAAAACAACAAATATTATTGTATGTTACCAGAAAGCTTTGTATACCTAACACATGCTATTGCTCAACATGGACAAATAAAATTGATAAAAGGCAGCTGTCAAAGTATGAATTCTATGGAACTGCTTATCTTATGAATTCCTTTTAAGTATCTTCTGTTGTCTTTTGAGACAGACGGCTGATAAATGTGTACAAGATGTCATTTGAAAAAGGTCTCTTTTCCCTTGGTCTTTTGAGGACACACGTTTTGTTTCTGAGATTATAATCCTATAATTAAAGAGTGCAATTCTATGGTAAATGGATGGGTCTATGACAATTGGCCATGGCCAACTCGCCACAGCAATCTACACACAGCCAACTTGCCACAGTCAACTTGGTGCAGCCAACTCACCATGGGACAACTCACTGTGGCACAAGAGTTACACTAATATCAAAGAAATGTTGGGAAAGGATAATTAGAGAAAGGATGCAAACGGAGGGACAGAATGAATTGTGAATGACAAAAATTAAAATAATTTTCAAATTTATTTTAAATAATAAAATTGAATTGTTAAATTGTCCCATGGTGAATTGACCATGGTTAGTTGGCCACAGTGAGTTGGCTGTGGCAAGCTGTCCCAATCCGCTCCTGAAGGATATCTCAGGGCTGATAGAAATTTTGATAGTTGCTTCTCTGACAGTGAAGAATTCTGACCCTAGTGACAGAATTCTGGCACAGTTTTAGAGAAATCTATTTTAGTAGCCAATGTGACCTCCTGCAATCTGTTCTTTTGAAGCTCTCTAACATCAAAAAGAGGCAAAAGGAGATGACCGTGGTCAATGATCAGGTCTTCAGACTTATTGCCTAAATATTAAATGCAACTTCTCTCTCATTCCTGGCCAGCTGCTAACAAGATGTTTTTTAAAAAAAATATATTAACTTGAAATATTTTTATATTCTTTGAAAGATGAACAGTTTTTCCACTGTCTTACAGAATAAAGAATAATAATAACAATAATAAATATTTTTTTAAATGATGTTAGCTAATGATAAAGAGATATTTCATTTGTTCATTACTTATTTACAGTACTCTCTTATTCCTTATCTATTGCTTTTGTACCAATAAGGCATTCAAGGCTGTAAAATAAATGAAACCAATTCTATCGGATTTCTTTGTTAAATGTAGTTCACAGAAAAAATATTCCTTATCTCCTTTTTGGTCCTATTGGCAATGATTAATGTTTCCTTAAAAGTTAAAGGCCTTCCTGAATCAAAAATATGAGTGGGCTCAAAATTGGAGAGTACTTCTAAATCCAATTTGCTTCTTAAGAACTGTGAGTGGGGCAAACAAAATATTATTCTGTTCATGAATTTTGTTAATTTGTTTCAGGATCCAAGTTATTATTATTTGGATGTATCTATTGGGAAATCCAGACTAAAAAAAAAAATAGAACCCAAGATAAGAACTGTGCTGTTGGAGCAGGATGTATTGCTAAAGAAAGATATCATAAATTTATGGTTTGTTGTGTCCTCCCTTAACAGCAGAATTTGAGAAATGGTTGTATTCAAAGGAAAGATTTCTAGGAGGGCTGAGAATATGTTTTCAGTTTGTATGTTTTTGAAATATGAAATCTCTTCAGTATGCTGGAAAAGTGATCTATATATTTATTATCCTTGTAATCTTTCCAATATTACTTATGAAATATATTTGCCATGTGAGATTCGTGGTTCTCTCTGAGCTTGGTGGTCTTCATGCAGACATTTCATTATCAAACTAGTTAACATAATCAGGGTTAGGAGGGAGTGGGGTTTTGTCTTATTTTTGTATACTGGTAGTTTGCCCTTTCAGTGTTGGTGGGTGTGTTCTTGGTGGTTCATTAATATGTTTGCCAATCTGATAAGATAATTTAGAATGGAACCTAGTAAATCTGGAGTTTGGAGCAAATGGAGCAAATTTTAATCCATGAACACCTTAAAACAAGAATCTTTAACCA